TTTGCCACCTCTCAGCCCAGCTCTGCAGCTTATCTATGTCCCTCTGTGACCTGCAACATCCTTCCGCACTATCCACAACTCCACCAACTTTGGTGTCTTCCGCAAATTTACTATCCCAAAAATCACTTTCTAATTCATTCATTGATTCAAACTTCCCTCCAGCGCAAAGTGTGTCCCATTGCAGGGAGAGGTGGGCATACACACAGAGACTCATCAACAGTATTGTATCACTTTAAACACAAGAAGAATAGACACAGAGATAGCTAGAGGGTATTTAACCCCATTTCAATGGATACCGCTCCTTCAACAACAGACAGCCCATTGCACACAGACACGGAGAGACACACACTGATATACACTAACACACACAGTCAGAGAGAAATAGCAAAAGCTGCAGATGCTGGAGTCAGAGTCAACAGACTGTGGAGCTGGTGGAACATAGCAGGCCAGGCAGCATTAGAGGAGCAGGAAAGTTGATGTTTCAGATCGGGACCTTTCTTCAGAACTGGGGAGGGGTAAGGGAGCTGGAAAATAAATAGAGGGATTGGGAAGGGTGGGGCAGATAGATAGGGAAGATGATGGACAGGTTGTGTCAGGTCAAGGAGGCAGGGATGAGAGGAAAGTTTGAACATGTGATGAGGCCGGGGGTGGGGAAATTTTAAAACTGGTGAATTCTATGTTTGGTCCATTGGGCTGTATGCTCCCGAGGCAGAATATGACGTGCTGTTCCTCCAGTTTGCATGTGGCATCATTGTGACACTGGAGGAGGCCGAGGATGGACATGTCATCTAGGAAATGCGAAGGGGGCTTAAAATGGTCAGCGACAGGAAAGTGTTGTTGATTACCGTTGCTCCTGATGTGGCCTCTTTTACATCGGTGAGACCAAGCACAGACTCAGGGACCATTTTGTGGAATATCTGCACTCCATACTTGATTGTCGATAACACCTTCCGCCCCACCCTTCTCACCGACCAATCACCAATACCCCCTACTGGCATCCACTTATCATCACCCCATCTACCTTTCCTCAGCCCCACACATCCTCCCTCTCACCTCCTTGACCTGACACTGTCTGTCCATCTTCTCTCCCACCTATCTGCCACCCCCCCTACCAATCTCACTGACCAATCCCCACCATCCCCTACCGGCATCCACTTATCACCATCCCACCGTCTCCCAGCTCACCCCTCCTCCGTCTATTTATTTCCCAGCTCCCTTCCCCTTACCCAGTTCTGAAGAAGGGTCCCAACCCAAAATGTCAACTTCCCTGCTCCTCTGATGCTGCCTGATCTGCTGTATTCCTCCAGCTCCAAACTGTGTTGACAGTCAGAGAGAGATAGGCAGACACAGATACAGAGACAGAAACACACAGACACACACACACACAGATAGAGACAGGAACACAGTCACAGAGGCAAACAGACACACACAGTGACTGAAACACTCGCGAATATACACACATACATGTACAGACCCACACACATATAGAATTTGTGTGCAGTAACTGACACTGCCCTGAGTTTAACCATTTGTAACACAATCTGTGTCTATCAGCTCATTCACAGCTTTTATAAATGAAATGTCAAAGAGAAAGTGAAACAGTGGTGTGACATCCCTTAGCCTATTCTCAGGGAAGAGGCGAATCTGTTTAAAATCTCGTGGTCATTTGCACAATTAACAGACTCGTACAACAGATCCATGTAATCACTGAATGTCCATCTGTGAAACGGATTGATGTTCATCCTCAGAAACTCATTGAAAAAAGTAAACTTGCTGACTTTACTTTTCAGTCCGATCACACTTTGTGTTGATCTGTGTCACTATCCTGTTGGATAGTTGCAGCAACAGAGAAGGGTCTAGCAATACCTTTCCCTCCAGCTTGGTCTGAACAGCATCAAGAAGCTGACGAGCATTTCTATGACTCTGGGGTTCGAGCAGATCTGCCGTGATCTTCTGCTATTTCTAACAGGCAAGTGTGACAGAGAGAGAGAGGGCTGGGTCCTGCAGGTGGATATCCCACACTTAGTCCACATTCAACCCTCCCTGTTCAACTAAGCTGCTATCACCTGACTGGAGGCACTGGATATTGCAAAGATTGTGGGTCCTGACAACATCAGTCTCTGCAAATTGTCACATGGCTAATAAAGGTGTTCCAATACAGCTACAGTGTTGGCATGTACCCAAAATGTGAAAACTTACCCAGGTGTGTTGTGCACATAAAAATTAAGGCAATTCTAAACAGCCAATTGATGGCTTGTCTGTCCATTCTTTAACGTGAAAATGTGAAGGAAGGTGTCATCAACAGTGCTAGAGTAATACCTTGTCAAAAATAACATGCTCACTGATGCCCAGTTTGCGTTCCGCCATGTTCTGCCACTCAGCTGAACGGCCTTGGTTCAAAGAGTTTGAATTTCAGAGGAGAAATGAGAGTAACTACCCTTAACACCAAGGCATCATTTCACTGAGTATGACATTACGAGCCTAAGTAAAACCATAGTCAATGAGTCATAGAGTAACACAGCAAGAAAACAGGCCCTTTGGCCCAACCTGGTCCATGCTGACCATGGTGTGTACTCAGCTCGTTCCATTTGCCTGCATTTGTTCCATATCCCTCCAAACCCTTCCCATCCATGTACCTATTAATTTTTTTTTTTAAATGTTGCTATTGTACCTGCTTCAACCACTTTCTCTGGCAGCCCATTCGATATAAGCGCTACTCTCTGTGTGAAGAAGTTGCCCCTCAGGTCCTTAAATCTTTCCCCTTTCACTTCAAACCTCTGCCCACTAGTTTTCAATTCCCCACCCCTGGGAAAAAGATGATATGCATTCATCCTATCTATGCCTCTCATGATTTTATGCACCTCAATAAGGTCACCCTTCATTCTCCTACATTTCAAGTCCCATCCTAACCAACCTCTCCCTATAACTCAGGCCAACTATTCCTGACAACATCCTCATAAATCTTCTTTGCACATCTTCTACTTTAACTATGTCTTTCCTATAACAAGGTGACCAAAACTGTACTCACTACTGGAAGTGCAGCCTCACTGACTTATACAACTGTGACATAACATCCCAAGTCCTATATTCAATGCCTCGACTGACAAAGGCCAGCATGCTAAATGCCTTCACCTGCCTGTCCACCTGTGACCCCGCTTTTGATGAACTATATACTTGTGTCCGAGGTCCCTCTGTTCCATATCACTCCTCAGGACCCCACCATTTACTGTATAAGTCCTACCTTGGTTTGACTTTCCAAAGTGCAACACCTCATACTTATGGAGAATCCAGAGAAAACTCTCTGCTGGTTGCAGTAAGAATGAGCAAGAAGGAAGACGGTCGTTGTTAGTGTCACTAATCTCAGCTCCAGGACATCTCTGCAAGAGTCCCTCAGGGAATGTCCTAGGTCTAACCATCTCCAGCTGCTTCTTGAATGAACACCCAGCAGTAAACTGATGAATGATGGCGGTAAAGTGGTGAATATAGCTGCCTTCCAAGCAGTTAACCTGGGTTGATTCCCGGTCATCACCATGTCGCAATATTGAGTTGACCACCAGAAAAACCGAAGACAAAATGACAGTCACGGATCGTTAACTTGACCTGAAGATACACAAGAATATCATTCTATGAAATACAGATTATTTACATTGTTCCTTATTTTTCATATGACGGCTATCTGAGGATTCCAGTGCAAAACAGGAAATTAATGCTCAGATTCGCTAAAATTTTCCCCTCTGTTCCTTTCCATTTCCTAATTTCGACATTGATTTCTGAACAGGGATTGATTTTCATACTGTCTCATTCAGCAGTTGCAGCAGCTTTTGTAGAGATAAGTTTCAGGTCTATGAAAGGTTAACATAAACCCCTGCCCCCAAACTCTCAGAGCTCCTGAGTTTTCCATTCTTATATGACATTAACTCTTTCTGTATTTCATTCCTTTCAAACTCACTCTCACTTACCTTTTGTGAAATACTGTTCAATCTCAAATAAAATGTAACTGGAGAGGTTCATAAATGTCTGAGCACTTTTCTTTATTATATATAATCGGTTGTTTTATTTCTCAAACTAAAAGTGCACCAATCTGAGTGTGGAGAGTACAGACAGAATCTGTTTGCTCACGAGCTGCTTCATTAACCCTGACAGACTCTGAGCATTTCTGCGGGTTGGTTGCAGTTTCCACTTGCGGCCAGTAGTGGGCACTAACCTGTGGAACAGTGAAGTTCCCGGATCAGCGCGATGGAGACAACAGGCAATAATTATTCCCCTTGTGTTGGACAGTGTGAGGGAGAAATACTAAGGGTGGGGGACCGGCTGCTATTACGTTTCCAGGGCTGGAAAAGGGGATTGAAAAATGTCTGAGAGACGGTAGAAATGACCATATGGTCAGTGACTGGTTAATCCAGGAGAGTCAGAATACATTCATTAAAATACCGCCCAGTTTAAATAAAAACCCTCGGGGCTGAGTGAGGGTAGAGGATATAAAATAAAATCGGTAACAGTCGGCCGGCCTGATTTACCAAATAGAGGATTCATTGGGGGACGGGAGGGCCAGCCCCAAGCGAAATCTCTCCTCTCACCCTCCACGCCCTCAATATCTCACCACCATAACCTTCGGGAACGGGACTTTACTAACACAGTCCGCTCTCCCCCGACGCTTCTCCTTTCTGGGTGGGACCGCCGCCATTTTAGTTTCAGGCCCCTCCCCCTGCGCGCGAGAATGTGGTTAATGGCCGCCTCGTGCCCGAAGTGACTGCTGGCAGCTGCTTCAGAAGAAAAACTCTTTAAAGAGAAACAACCCTTTCAGGACAGAAAACAAAAAACGCAAAAGGGCCGGCTCTGGGTGTCGTCAAACACAATAATATGTATCAGAATGAAAAAGACCACAGACAGAGAGGTGAAAGTGATGAAGAAATTGTGTGTCGGTGCATCAAGTCCCAAAGCGCACTCTTCCGAAGGACGGCCGCCCCCGGACTCGAAATGTTGTCTCTGCTTTATCTCGCTCTGGGCAGATGGAGCCATACCTGAAGCACAGAAAAAGGTACTCGAGGGGTGAGTGCTTGTACAGGATTCCCTTAAGGTTCAGTTGGCAGGCGGAATACAATGTGGGAAAATGTGTGAAGTTATGCGCTGGGATTAGAAGGAGAGAGAGGCAGAGTATTTTCTAAATGGGGAAAGGCTTAAGAAATCTCAAGCTCAAAGGGATTTCTTAGTCTGTGTTCAGGATTCTCTTCAGGTCAAAATGCAGCTAGCTTCATTTAGCAGTTAGGAAGGTAAGTGTAATTTTAGTGTTTGTTTGAGAAGGTGAGAATACAAGGGCAGGGATGTACTGCTCAGGCTGTATAAGGTATTTGGAATATTGTGAGCAGTTATGGGTCCTGTATCTAAGGATGGTTTTGTTTTATTTTGAGAATATACTTTATTCATAAACATCCACAGTCAATAAATCATTTTGGTTCTGCACAATAGCATATGAACAAACCAAAGGCATTCCTTACTTGTGTAAGAGAATACTTCATATATATTTGAGGTACCCAAAGGATCCGGTAACTGAACGGACCCCCATTTAACTTAGGCAGAAACACCTCACGTGGTGGTCTTTTCCCACCGTGCCTTGGCAGCAGCTGCCCCAAGCTTTAATGCATGCCTGAGCACGTAGTCCTGGACCTTGGACTGTACCACTCTGTAACACTTGGTCGTGGTCAACTCCTTATTCTGTAAGACCAACAATTCTCGGTCAGTGCAAAGAGCCTCTTTCACTGAGTTCCAGATGCAATTGATGTTTCTGAGTGTGTGTCCCAGGGACCAGACCATAGAGCACAAATCCTGTATTATGGAGCTGCTCAGGATGAACCTCGACAATAACTACTGCATCTTTCTCCAGACTTCCTTTGCAAAGGCACATTCTCGAAGGAGATGTGCAACAGTCTCTAGTTCCCCGCAGCTACCTTGAATGCAGCATGTCGTGGCACACGGTCTGGGCGTACAAGAAGGATCTCGCAGTTTATGTCCTTCTCTTCAGCAGTCAGGCAACGTCTCGATATTTGTTGGAAAGTTCTCGTGACGAGGTATTCTGCCAAGTGGCAGACAGTCTGCTGAGGGAGCAACCCGACAGAATCCACCCTGTCCTTTTCCTGCAGAGTCTCAAGGATGTTCTACATGGCCATTTCCTGACGGACTTGTGGTCAAATGTGTTTGAGAGAAACATGCAGGTACTCACACCTGATCAGTCCACACGGCAAGAGAATAACGACTGACGCATTTTGTCACTCAAAGCCCACTGGGATCCGGACTTGGAATATACACAGACACAAAGCTGCAGTTTCAAACCCAGAGCAGCCAGAACACATGCTTAGGACATAAATTGACAAGATTTTTGCACAAATTACACAAGTTTGTTTCTGAAATGAACACAAGCTTTTAGCGTGAATGAGCACAAGTTTCATACACAAATGAACACAGTTATACATAAATGAGCACAAGATTTTTTGCACAAATTTAATGAAACTAAAAACGAACAAGTCAGTAATCTTACTGAGTTTGAAATTTATACAAATGATAAATCCATTGTAGAATTGAACACACTGTACTTACAATTGAACATAATTATAAAAACAGACAATTTTAAAAAATAGCAAGTATATGTTGGAATTAAAACACAAGATTAATTATTCTTCCACCCTTTAATAAAGTGTCAAGAGCAATTAGATGTAGAAGGTAGTTAAAGCTTAGAATTAGAGGTTGGAATGATGGGAAAATAGGTCAAGTAAGAGATATGCGACAGATTGTTGCATATCTGTAGAAAGCTTAGAACCTGCTGTTCAATGTTGCCCCAAAGCTTAAGACACGTTCTTTACGTGTCGGCAGGATCCCTATCTTTACAGGATCCGGACAAAGTGATAGGAATAAGAGAAAGGAGTTTGAGAGGAATTAGTTTCCCCGACCTGTGACCCACGTTGAGCCACCCTGATCTGATCTCTGGGAGATTGGAAAGATGGGACGGGCAAGACCACGTGAGGAAGACTAAAACTTGTTGAGAAATAAGTGAACAATTAGGACAATTGGAACAAAAGAACAAAACAGTCTGCAGGGCTTCAAGGACTGAGGTACAACGAGATCTTGGGGATGGGGAAGGGTGAATTTGTGTATAAGATGAGTGGAAAAGAAACTATAGCGTTAAGATACGTAATTATAAATTGTTAATACTCATTTAAATTTACAGTTTGACCCCTTGGTAAGTGGGACTTGTTAAGTAATGGGTAGCCAAACCAGCAAGGAAGCCAAGAGACCCGAGGTAAAAGAATTTCCTGTGAAACTGAAAAAGGCAACTTCAAGGACGATTCAGGAAGTCTAGAAACAGCGCAAGCTGCTTGCGGACCCGCTGGTTCCTCCTGGATCATCTGCCAATAAGGTTTGGCTGGAGACAGGAGACGGCAGGTACTCTGTTACAAATCACTAGAGAATATACGGGTGGTCTCATGGAGACTGGCCTTATGGAGGTACATTTGATCTAAAAAAAATAGTTTTGGAAAAGTGAGATAGAGGCTGGGGACGGAGACCCAAACTGGGATTATAACTATATGATTACTTGTTTTGACAAATGGTTGGAAGTGGCCAGGCACCATCAACCCCCGAAACCTAAAAAAAAAGGCTGCTGGTGATGGAAAGAATATTAAGCCTAGCGCTCCTGCCGCAGGAATGTATCCAAAGTTAGAACAGTTTAAAGAAAGCAAGGATCAGATTATAGATGATATTCTCTTGGCAGCTGCTCTTAGGAACCGTCCACCCCCCCAATAAGAAGGACCCGCCGTCTCGCCTACCTCGGGTCGCCTCTTCGGACACAGTCGGGGTCCAGACCAGAAGGCGTCAGGCAGCCGAACAGGAAGGTACCCCAACAGTGTTCCTAAGGAACCCGTTTGTAGTACGGTTGAACAATACCCCCGCATAATGGTAGGGGACGTTCCTGTATTACGCCCCTGGACTCCCTCGGAGATCCGAAGTATGATAAATGAAGCCCCAAACCCCTTAACAAAACCCGTCCCGTTTCATAATTGGTTAGTACAGACGTGTCAAATTTATAACCCCTTGCCTGATGATGTGCTGTTACTATTGAAGATTGCATACGGCACTTCTTGGCCAGCTGTTAAAGATTCGTTTGCTGTCCCACAGGGGCTCGAGGGTGACTGGGGCCCTGATGATGACCTTCAGAATCAGGGAAACGAGAGTAGAGACACTTGGCTCCGGAAACGCGCTAAAGATGCCATCACTAATGGAGCTAGGCAACATAGTGATTTTGAAGAGGTGACCCGTTGCATGCAGAAAAAGGTGCAGCAGCTGACAGACTTCATTGCTAGGTTTAAGGATACTTGGGAATCCTCAGCAGGGGTGGCGCTGGAGCAATATGGACCTCTTGCCATCCACACCCTCTTGAATTGCCTTGACCCTAACACGGCCTATGCTTTCAAATTGGCTAACGTGACCTGGTAGCAGCAAGGATGGAATGAAATCCTCACGTCCCTGACTAATATGGACAGGCAGGGTTTGTTCACCAAGCGATCCGGCGAGCCTAAAGGCCAACTCGCCCAGCGGTTCCATCCTGGGGGTCACACGGAAAGACGCCATAAACCCCAAAATGGGAATCGTGGTCGGCGGTGGGAGGGTAGGGATAAAGGACAGGATGTCTGTTGGCCACTGGGCTCGGGCTTGTCGTAATGGGAGAAATGGGGCACGTACTGTCAATCAGATACCCACTACCCCTTTTTCTTTTAATAACCCTTTCCCTCAAGGACAATAGGGGTGCCACGGAGGGGCGGCCTTACAGGCTGCAATGATCAGATTGTCCTCTTCTCCCCGTGAGGACTCCATGGCCAAAATTGAGATTGAAGGGAGATGAGTAAACTTTGATTCCGGCTCAACAATCTCGTCTGTGCCCCCCTTTGTGGACCTGCCTTGAAGTTCTAAAAAGACTTCCACTATAGGAGTAGCCGGAATTCCTATAGTTGAGTTCTTATCCCATCCTGTTCCTATGGAAATCGGAAACTGACGTTTCCTGAGTGAGCTATACATAGATCTCTGCTCAATTTGTGTTTGTTTTCAGGGAACATATTTTAAATTGAACAGAATTTTAAATGTTTCCAGCTATTTATTTATCATATCCATGGTCTAGTTATAATCAGTTTTAGTCAGTTTGGCCATCATATCGATATCATTGGAATCACATGCATGTCATTGCTTATTTAAATTTGAGATTCTTAATTAGGAATGGAGTATGCTGCCTGGAATTGTGGCCTTATATTGTAAGTCTCTGCGATCAATGAAATATCTCACTGGCGCCAGTACTAAAAACTGCAAATTTTGAATAGTGATGAGACTGTGTTCAACATTCACTATCTAACAAGACTCCATTACTTCTGGTCAAAGGTAGTGATAATCTTAGATGTTTGATCGGCATCGTGTTATGAATTGACAAGAAGTAACTTCGTTTAGTCTCCCGCTTGATTTGTTAGAACGATTTTAATGTTCAGAACTAATGGTGACAGAGTTGAGGTGCACCAAATGAAGTGTCCTGTCAGTTGGTTCTACACTGCCTGAAAATAGAGTCCCCTTACTGATCAAATGCTATGACACAAAATTGACTGCAAAACCTTGTAGTGGATAATTGTTCTAGCATTCAGCTTCTCACTATGTCTGAAATACCTTGTAAATTTGTGTCTAAAGCTTCCTGTCTGACCTCAATGTTTGTCCAGGATCTAAAGGACTAGTATTTCAAACAAATAGATCATTCTCTTACCTTTCTCAATTGTTTATCTCTGAAAGCCCGTTGAAGGATTCTCAGGTTGGTACTCCCAAAATCCTGTGCTGGTTAACCTGCTGTTATTCTTCATTCAACAATCCCCATTTTCCTCTAGATGGATTTTTTTCTCACCTCATTGTTCACTTTGGATGTAGATTACGACTGGAGAGAAATTGGAGAGAATAGTGTGAACTAGAATTTCAATTTCTTCAAATCCCACAGCTACCTGCCAGGAACCCCAGCAAACACATAGTTTAAACAAAACTGCAATGACTACTCTAAGGTTTTGGAATAGATTTGTAGCTCGGGCTGTGGATGTTGAGGTTGGTTGCCTCGCCGAGCTGGTTCATTGTAGCCGAGCTACAAATCTACTCCAAAACCTTAGAAACTCATGGGCGAAACATGCTCAGATTGGCCCAAAACTGATGTTACCCAACAGGGTAATGAAACGTCTGCGAAACAACAACGAACCTGCAATGACTACTCCCGATCTCACACAGGCTCCAACCTGCCCAGGTCACACACTGATCAGAATTCACAACATAATTACAGTCAAGGAGGCCATTCAGTCCATTAAGCTTACTCCAGCTCTATTATCTGGTGCCAATCTCTTGCCTTTTACCCAAATGCTTATCAGAAAAAGCACAGATCCCAATATTGACCCCCAGGAACTCCACTCCAACCCTCCTCTAGCCAGAAAAAAATATCCACTGACCATTACTCTCTTTACTATCACAGTTTTGTATCCATGCTGCCATTGCCTCTTGTACCACAAGTCTGTTTTGTTATACCTTCTGGAAATCCATATAAACCACATCAGTAGCATTGCCCGCACCGAACATTTCCGTTAACTTGAAATTTTTCTAAATTAGTTACGCACAATTTGCCCTGGACTTTTCCTGATCAACACACCTTTTACACGTTATCTTTATCCCAAATAATTGTTGCCAGAAGCTTCCCCACCACCAGAGTTAAACTGACAAGGCCGTAAATGCTAGGACTGACCTTACAATCCTTTTTGGAACAAGCCCGTAACGTTGTCAATCTCCAGTCTCCGAGCACTTCCTCCGGAGTCCAGGGGAGACTGTGAGATAACAAAGTGTAGAGCTGGATGAACACAGCAGGCCAAGCAGCATCAGAGGAGCAAGAAAGCTGACGTTTCGGTTCTTTGTTATGGCCAGTTCCCCCACAATTTCTCCTCTCACGTCACTCAAAATCCTTGGATTTCTCATCCTGGTGTCCTGTTAACCCCGAGTGCCAATATCATTTGGACAAGGACATGGATAGGAAAGGTTTCCCCCTCAGTATATCTGCACATTAACAGTTTGCTGATGAATATCGAAGTTATTTTCTCACCCTCACTAACAAGATTTAAAAATAAACTCTCATTTCCTCTCCAGCGCGAGGCGCCAAACCGCCCCATCCCCTGGCGAGCTCGCGCAGAGTCAGTTAAATGGCCGCGCCTCGAGTCTACGCGAGCCCTCCGGGCGGGCCAGCTCCGATTGGTCCGACAGCCTGTCAATCCCGTAGCAACGGCCAATAGGAGGTGAGGTCCCGCCCAGGGAACGCCGCCTGGAGGTGAAAGTGAACGAAAAGAGAAATCGCTGGAGAAACTCGGCAGGTTTGGCAGCTTCTGTGGAGTTAAAGCAGAGGTAACGTTTCAGATTCAGTGACCCTTCATCAGAACTGATTGTAGGTAGGGAAAGGTGCAGATCGGGGGGTGAGGGCTGACACTACTGCAGTAGGTAGATGGAGCCCAGAAAGAGAGAGAAAAGCAGACAAATAAAGGGATGGATAATTGTGAGGCAGGGAGAAAGAAAAGCTGATTATGGGACTACAGGTGAGAATGGGAGGAACAGCACCTCATATTCCGCCTGGGAACCCTGCAGCCCAATGGTCTCAATGTGGAATTTACGAGCTTCAAAATCTCCCCAACACCGACCTCATCCCAAGACCAGCCCCTCTCGTCCCGCCTCTTTGACCTGTCCGACTTTTCTCCCATCTATCCTCTCCTCCCACCTCACTGACCAACCCCCACTTCCTACCTACTAACCTCATCCCCACCTCCTTGACCTGTTGGTCTTCTCTCCCACCTACCCGCACCTCCCTCCTCACTGACCAACCTCCATCCGAACTCCCTACCTACGCTCACCTGTACTAACTTCATCCCGGCCTCCTTGACCTGTCCGTCTTCTCTCCGCCTATCTGCTCCTCTATCCACCTTCTATCATTGCCTGCCCCTCTCTCTATTTATTTCAGAGTCCCGTTCCCTTTCCCCAATTTCTGAAGAAGGGTCTAGACCCGAAACGTCAGCTTTCCCTTTCCTCTGGTGCTGCCTGGCCTGCTGTGTTTGTCCAGCTCCACACCTTGTTATCTAGGTGAAAATGGAGTTGGCTGTGCCTGAAGCAGCCCTGTATCGTGACAAGGGCCTGGGCTGTGGGTAAAGGACATGGAGGAAGGTGTTGAGGCTCTAAAATTGTTGAAACCAGTATGGATTCATGAAGGCTGCAGGTTCCACAAGCGGAAAATGAGTTTGTGTTGTTCTTCCAGTTTGTGCTGAGCCTCACTGGAGACCTGCAGCAGGCCCCGACCCAGAGACATTGGGGCCAGGGAACACGGTGCTGTGTGGAACAAAAACAGAAGTTGCTGGAAAAGCTCAGCAGGTCTGGCAGCATCTGTGAAGGAGAAAACAGAGTTAATGTTTCGGGTCCGTTTACCCTTCCTCAGAACTGAGGAACCCAGTGTGGGGGAACCTGTTGAGCTTTTCCAGCAACTTTGTTTTTGTTCCTGATTTACAGCATCCGCAGTTCTTTCAGTTTTTATTTACGGTGCTATGTGGAAATGGCAGGAAACCTGGGATCATTTCTACATAATGTAGGTGTCCTGCAAAGTGGGTCACCCGGTCTGTGTTCGGTGTAGAGGAGAGCACATTGTGAGCAGCGAATGTAGTAAACTCAATTTAGTGAAGTTGCAGGTAAAGCGCTGTTTCACCTGAAAGGTGATCTGGGGCCTTGGATAGTGAGGAGGGAGGAGGTAAACAGGCAATCTGAGATTGCATGGGAAGATGCCATAGGAGGTGCATTGGGAGGGAAGGGGAATATGTGTCTGGTGGTGCCATCCCAATACAGTTGGTGGAAATCGCAGACAATGATCCTTTAGATGCAGATAGAAAGCATCCTATCAGGATGCATCACAGCTTGGTATGGCAACTGCTCTTCCCAAGACTGCAAGAAGCTATAAAGAGTCATGAATACAGCCCAGTCCGTCACACAAACCAGCCTTCCGTCCATGGACTCCATCTATACTTCCCGCTGCCTTGGGAAAGCAACCAGCATAATCAAAGACCTCTCCCACCCCGTTGCACACTCTTCCACCTGCTTCCATCAGGCAAAAGATATAAAGATTTGTATGCACGTATGAATAGATTCAAGAACATTATTAGACTTCTGAGTGGACCTCTCATATTTTAAATTTAATATTGATCTTGCTCTCTGTGCACCTTCTCTGTGCAGCGGTAACATTGTATTCTTTGCTCTATTCAATTACCCTAACACACTCTATGGTATGATCTACCTTTACTGAACACAAAAATAAACTTTCCCCTGTACCAAGGTACATGTGACAATAATAAATAAAATGAAATCAAAGATGCTGGCAGGGTGGAAAGTGAAGAATGGTGGAATCTTCACTTGAGATAAAAAGTGGATGTTTCTGAGGCCCGTGTTGGGATTGACAAGAGCCCTTAGCTGGGTCCCATGCATTTCTCACACTTCTGCCCTCACCACCCCCTTCTCTTCCCTCCCAAAACATGGATAGGATCCCTTTGGTCCTCACTTTCCATTCCACAAGCATCTGCACCTAACAGATCATAAGCTGCCATTTCTACCACCTCCAATGTCGTTGTCCAATGGCCAGTGGCCAAAAGAGCTCAGGCAATTGATTGACACAGTGTAAGTTACCTACCTCTGGAAATATGATATAATAATAAGTATTGAGGCAGAGGGAAGTTCTCTCAGAAGGCGGTTCTCATCAAGCAGACCTTGTAGGCAGCAGATCTCATCAGTCAGTCCCTAGAGAGCAGTCTTCACCAGGCAGATGGAAGATGGACTAGAAGAAGAGGAGGAAGACCGGGGGAAGAGCTCCCTACCATCTCGGTGAGAGAGCAGGATGCTGCTCCCATTACTTTAATGAGATTGAAATATTTCAAACCGACAGTCTGTTTGTTGTCAGGTATCAGTCACTGATACCGATTGTCAGAGTTGTATACTTGCTATATCTAATTGATAAATGTATCATACCTAAACTGATGCTCCTTTTCAAAGTCAATAAACCATGAGAAAACTACTTACAAATTATCGACTGCCTATATTAACTGTGATTGTGAATGCAAAAAAAATCAACAATAGTGAATAATTTGGAAGAATTGTGTTAGATGTCAAGTCTGGTCTTGCCATTGAGACAAAAAAGTCTCATTTACCAAGCAAATCCTGGAGGCTGAGATAATTTTACTAGTAAATGGCAAGGGGCCTGTTAATGGGGATTATTGCTTGTTACAATGCTCATTATTACTTAATCTCACTTCATTAATAGACAGGCTCTTATTCTTGCACCCATAGAATAGAAACTAGGCACCAAGAATTCTTGACACAAAAGTTAATGGATACCAGCTTGCCACTTGCCCCTCCAGACATCTATCTTGGACACTCGGCATTAGCATCTCAGGGCATACTCTGTGGGCAACAGCCACATGCACCCCATGTCGATAGACATTGGCACTCAACATTCCAGCGTTTCTGCTTTGTTCATGGCATAGCAACGGCCCTGTTACAACACATATCTATACTTTTGTTGTTTGCTTATTTGCTCATTTTCACAGAGGATAGTTTACATGTGGAATGTGCACATGGGCACGATTATCAATTTTAAAAGACATTCGGATAAGTGCATGAATAGGAAAGATTTGGCAGGAGTGGGCAGGTGGGACTAGTTTAGTTTGGGATTATGTTTGGCATGGACTAGTTGGACTGAAGGATCTGTTTATGTGCTGCATGACTCTGAGTATGGAAGACAAGAGAAAATGGTGGCTGTAAGAGCTGCTCCTTTTTAAAGGTTCTTTTTCAGTGTTGGAGCTGATTTCCTTGATTTCCTGGAGCATTAATTACTGTTTTAGAAGCTGTTGCATTGTTTTGGAACTTTGAAAAAAAATCAAGACAATGGTGCATTAAAACAAGGAGGAGAGCAGGTACATGGGAGGTGAAAAACAAAGGAACAGGGAACCTGCACAGCTGACTGACCAGGCAGCTGCTTGCCTCTGCTGTTTATATTCAAGTTTCCCTGGACATTGAAGTACAATCAAAGAAACATAAACAAACAGTGAAATTCACAACTTTAGTATTGTGATGTGCTCTTCCTGTCAGATATGGGAGATTAGGAAGAATTTCAATATTGCTGATTATTATGTATGCAGGAAGAGTGTTTGGTTGTGAATCCTGTTGGATCACAAGGGTGGGTTGGAGCAGTAGTTAGAGGCAATAAGGAATTGACAGGAGCTAGGGAGTGTGCTGGATGGCAGTTTCAGGAAGATGAAAAAACTGCAGATACAATCAAGTAGATGGGTTACTTCTGTGGCTATCCACGTCTCAAAGAAGTATGCTGTTTTGGAGAATGTAAGGGGTGATGGACTCTCGAAGGAATGTAGCACTGACAGCCAGGTTTCTGGTACCAAGACTGGCTCTACTGTAACGAGGGGTACATGAGGCTCCAAGCAATCAATTGTGATAGGAGACTCTCTAGTCAGAGGCACAGATAGATGTTTCTGTGGGCAGCAATAAGATATCAGAATGATGTGTGCCTCCCAGGTGCCAGGATCAAGGATGTCTCAGAGAGGATGCAGAATATTCTCAAAGGGGAGAGGGACCAGCATGAGGTCATTGTTCACCTTGGTGCCAATGACATAGGAAGATAAAAGGTCAAGGTTCTGAGGATAGAATATAGGATATTAGGCAGGAGGTTAAAAAGTAGGTCCTCAAAGTCAGTAATACCTGGATTACTCCCAGCGCCATGTACTCGTGAGATTAGGAATAGGAGGTTAGAGCAGATGAATGCGTAGCTGAGGAGCTGATGCACGGGAGAATGATATGTATTTTTGGATCATTAGAATCTCTTCTGGGGTAGAATGACCTGTATAAGAAGGACTGGTGCACCTGAATTGGAAGGGGCCTAATATACTGGTGGGGAGATTTTCTAAAGCCACCCAGGAGGATTTAAGCTAGTAAGGGTGGGGTGGAGGTGTGACCCAGAGAGGTGGTGAGAACAGGGGTCAGTTTGATGCTGGTGCATTTGGGAAAAGCAGCAAGTCAAATAGTCAAGATTGGCAGGAGCAAAGCAGAGAACGAGATAGGACTGATAAACAGTATTTATTTAAATGCAAGAGGCCTGACTGGTAAGGCTTATGAACTCAGGGCATAGTTGGGAACATGGGACTGGGATACTATAGCTATCATATAAACGTGATGCAGGGATGGACAGGACTGGCAGCTTAATATTCCAGGGTATAGATGGAATAGGAAGGATAGAAATGGGGCAAAGGAAGCAGGGTTGGGGGTGGGGGGTGGGGGGGGCACGCAGTGACTCTTTTGATTGGGCAAAACATTATGGTTGTGCTTAGGGAGGATATTCCGGGGGTTGGGCGGTGGGGGGGATGGCAGAGTACATCCGGTGAAGTTATTTGTGTGGAACTGAGCAATCAGGAAGCATGATCACCTTGTTGGGATTCTACAATAGCTCCCCTTTCCCCTCATAGTCAGCAGGAAATTGAGAAGTAAATTTTGTAAGGCGATCTCAGTTATCTGCGAGAATAATAGAGTGGTGATGGTAGAGGATTTTAACTTTCCAAACGTAGACTGGGACTGCCATAGTGTTGACGGCTTGGATGGAAGGGAATTTGTTAAGTGTGCACAAAAAAATGTTCTGATTCAGTATGTGGATGTACCTATTACAGAAGGTGCAAAACTTGGCTTACACTTGGGAAATAAGGCAAGGCAGGTGATTGAGGTGTCAGTACGGGCGCACTTTGGGACAAGTGATCATAATTCTATTAGTTTTAATATAGTTATGGAAAAGGATAGACCTGATCTAAAAGTTAAAATTCTAAATAGGAGGAAGGCTAATTTTGATGCTAGTAGGCAAGAACTTTCAAAAGTAATTGCGGGCGGATATTCACAGGTAAAAGGACGACTGGAAAGTGGGAAGTCTTAAAAAATTAGATAACCAGAGACCCAGGACAGTATGTTCCTGTTAGCCTGAAAGAGAAGGCTAGTAGATGTAAGGGAATACTGGGTGTCAAGAGAAATTGAGGTTCTGGTCAAGAAAAAAGAAGGAAGCATGTGCCAGTTATAGACAGCAGGGATTGAGTGAATCCTTAAAGGAGTATAGGGCAGTAGGACTATACTTAAGGGAGAAATCAGGAGGGTGAAAACAGCACATGAGATTGCTTTGGCAAATATGGTTAAGGAGAATCTAAAGGGTTTCTACAAATACATTTATGGACAAAGGAGTAACTAGGGAGAGAATACGACTGCCTATGTGTGGAACCGTAGGAAATGGGTGAGATTCTAAATGAGTATTTTGCATCAGTGTTTACTGTGGAGAAGGATATGGAAGCTAGAGAACTTGGGGAAAATAAATAGTGATATCTTCAAAAGAGCCCATATTACAGAGGAAGGCATGCTGGATATTTTAAACGCAGGAAGGTGGATAAATCCCCAGGACCTGATCAGATGTCCCTGGAACTTTGTGGGAAGCTAAAAAAAGTGATTGATTGGCCCCTAGCTGAGATATTTACATCTTTGATAGCCACAGGGAGATGCCAGATGACTGAAGATCGGCTAACGAGGTGCCATTATTCAAAAAAAGTGTTAAGGAAAAGCCAGGGAACTATAGACCGGTCAGCCTCATGTCAGTGGTGGGTAAGTTGTTGAAAGGGATTCTGAGGGAAAGGATTTACATGTACTTGGAAAGGAAATGACTGATTAGGGATAGTCAACATGGATTTGTGCGTGGGAAATCATGTCTGACTAACTTGATTGAGTTTTTTGAAGAAGTGACAAAGAAGAAGGCAGAGCAGTGTACGTTGTCCATATGGATTTAACGAGGTTACACATGGTAGACTGGTTAGTAAGGTTAGATCACATGGAATACAGGGAGAGCTAGCCATTTGGATACAAAATTGGCTCAAAGGTAGAAGACAGAGCCTGGTGGGGGAGGGTTGCTTTTCAGACTGGAGACCGGTGACCAGCATCATGCCGCAAGGATCAGTGTATGGTCCACGATTTTTGACATTTATATAAATGATTTAGATGTGTATGTAGGAGGCATGGTTAGTAAGTTTGCAGATTACAATAAAATTGGTGGCGTAGTGGACTGCAAAGAAGGTTACTTCAGAATACAATATGACCTTGATCAGATGGGCCAATGGTAAGGTCCTGAGGAGTGTTGGCGAACAGAGACCTTAGGGTACAGGTTCATAGCTCCTTGAAAGTGGAGTCACATGTAGACAGGATAGTGAAGAAGGCATTTAGTACACTTGCCTTTATTGTTCAGTGCATTGAGTATAGGAGTTGGGAGGTCAGTTGCAGCTGTACAGGACATTGGTGAGGCCAGTTTTCGAATACTGTGTTCAGTTTCGGTCTCCTAGCTTTCAGAAAGATATTGTGAAACTTGAAAAGGTCCACAAAAGATTTACAAGGATGTTGCCAGGTAGAGTGTTTGAGATATTGGGAGAGACTGAATAGGCTTGGGCTATTTTCCTTGGAGCATCAGAGGCTAAGGGGTGACCTGAAAGAAATCGTGAGGGGTATGGATAGGTTGAGTCATCAAGGTTTTTTGCTGAGGAAAGTGAGTACAAAACTAGAAGTCATAGGTTTAAGGTGTGAGGGGAATGATTTAAAAGGGACCTAAGGGCCAACTTCTTCACGCAGTTGCGCGTGTATGGAATGAGCTGCCAGAGGAAGCAGTAGAGGCTGGTACAATTACAACATTTGAAAGGGAGCTGGCTGGGTATATGAATAGGAAGGGTTTAGAAGGTTATGGGCTAAATGCCAGAAAATAGGATTAGTTTAATTGAGAATATCTGGTTGGATAAAGGGTCTGGTGCCTTGGTGTACAACTCTATGACTCTATAAACACGCTTAAAAAGACCTTTATCATCACTAATTAAATACAGTTAATGTTGACCCACCAAAGGTGATATTAGGTCAGGTGATAATAACTTATTCAAAGAGATAAATTTCAAGGAGCATCTTAAATAGGAGAAGGAGCTAGGTAATTGGAAGGGTTTAGAGAGGGAGTCCAGAAGAGTAGACAGCTCAGTGACACAAGATTGTTCCCAATTGTCAGACTTATTATTGTTTCTGGCATTCTTACCTGCCATTTCATATTTAATTTACTTCTTTTAATCTGTAGGTTCTTTTACTTTCATACCAGCTGGTAACATTTTGAAAGAACTGAACAGAGGCCGTATGCCATCACCAAGGCACCCTTTATTTGTATGTGGTCTCAATATGGACTCTGACCAGCCAGCTCTGAGCCAGTCCCTAGACTGTGAGTCTCCTATTCCTATGTGTCAGCCAGGGCTCCCTGATTGGCCCAAACAAGGATCTCATAGTAATTGAGATCAACCTAGCCTATTACCAATCACTGTACATTTATATCACAGCAGAACATCTAAAACTTTCATAGAGATTTTACAAAACAAGATATACACCTGTCCAAGAAAACAAAGAAATCAATGGATGATGACCTTGGAACATTTTGAATAGATGAGTGAGAATTTAAAATCAAGAATTTGAAGGACAACATGCCTGTGTAGGTCACTGCGGTCAGTGGATGATCAGGAAATGGGATTTGTTGGGAGGGTGGAAGAAATTAATACAAAGTAAATGTATGAGTTTATAATCTGATGTCCAGCTGATATCATGCTAGAATATAAGGGTCCAGAGGTGGCAATGGAATGAATGACTGGGATCCACCAATTATGAGCTGAGGCAGGGATGGGTTTAGGGGCTGTTTTGCAGATAGAAACAGTAATTATTGGTGATAATGTGGATATCTTTTTGAATTGATCTCAGGCTCCATTACGAAGCCACGAGCAAACAGGGTTCATCCAGAGTCAGTTCTCGCTGAGCTCGGAGGAGTCAGTGAGAACCACAAAACTTTTTCATGGAAGCACTGAGAAAGTTGGCTTCTCTGCCACAACTGACCCCATTCCCAAGCATCAGATCCCACCTGGTTGGGCATTGGATTTCCCATCAATGTAGCAGCTGATTTGTGGAAAGAAACGAACAAAGAAAGGGAGTGATATTATAGCCATCAGGGCAGGGTGAACTGAAAGGAACCAGACAAAGCATTGGTGCAAATACATTTGTAATCAAAAGACAATTTTTTTTACACTATGTTATTTAATCTTTTTAATGGGAAACTTATGGTGCTTTTTTATTTACTTATTTCCAGATGTGTGGATCAGAGAATTCTGTGAGGAAGAGTGAACAGGAACCTGATGTTGCTGTTCCCACTCTGGCCTGCAGTGAAGAATGATATCTTCCTCCAGCTCATCTATTTTTATATCTGGTTCACTCACTGAGAACTGATTGATTGGCATGAATGTGTTTTTATTTTGTGCATGTCTAATTCCTCTTGCAGTTATGCTTTTGTTGTTCAGTTTTCTACTAACTGTTGCTCGTTGCTAACAGCACTTTACACTGGCTTTGTTCCTCTAGTCTCATTCATTTTGGTTCTCAGATGGAGTCAATCCTTGTCCTTTAGAAAAGGAGTGTTATCATGTTGCTATTCCTCCTTCACCTTTCAGTCTATTCCTCACATGGACTCCTCATTCCATTATCTGCTACATCTAATGTTGGTTGTCAGTTACTTGGATTTATTCATCAATCAAATTATTTTTATAACTGGATATTTCACTGCTTATTTTAACTGGTCTCTGAATTTTTTCTGTGTTACCACATAAATAAATGCATTGTGCAGCAATTACATTCCACAGCATATATGTGACTTGTTCAAAGAGAACAAAAGCAGCAGGATCCAAGGAATATTGGGTTTCAAAGAACTATAAAATATACCCCAAGCAGAGAAGTATGAAGCTGGCAGATATGGCAACGAGTAAAATAACAGAATTTGTTCTGCTGTCTACCTCTGGATCATTCTCTGTTTTTCTTTGACCCCTCAGTCCCTTACACGCCTTAATTGCCTTGAAGATGTGTTTGACCGTTAGAACATTGATAAAGAGACTAAAAGTGAATGGGAACAATGATGTTAAAAATTGTTCAAAACATAGAAAACTTCCCAACCTATTGTCATTACTAATAACTGGACCTGACATCACCATATCATGGAACATTGTTGCTGATCTTTCCTGGTTTAAATTGAAAGTAGTTGGGAATGTTCTTTAAAGAAAAGAAAATGCAGATTGTTGCCAGAACCCCCGTTGCAGTTTTCTGTGTGTAATACTTAGTTTTCATCTGATGAAAACAAATGGTGACAAATCAATCAAAAGAAAAAGCAACAGTGAACAAATAGCTAAGCAGCTCAGGACAAAGATAACACTACAAACAGGAGTGATGTCTAGGAAACATGGTGGATAATAATAAGACCGAAATCGGTGAAGTAAGACATTGCCATGCCCACCAGATGGCAATTGGTGCATATAGAGAGAGACCACACTTGTCCCAAGCTAAGAATACAATCACCATTAGACTAACTGTGTGAGAAAGAAAGGCAAAAGAATACAAAGTTTCTGATCAAAAATTTTTGTGCCTGATCCCAGAAACCGTCCTGTTTTATTGGAGTCGGCAGCGGTTGATGTCTTCTGCTTTATACATTACCCTGACTGACTGGAGTTTCCCCCAAAACCACAACATCCAGGCAAAGACACCCGGATCCATAAAATAAAGAATGGGAGACACCTAACGAAGACATGGATTGCAAAATTCCTGTATCTGGTTTTGGACCTTCCGCAGTTGGGATTGCCTCTGGAATAATACAGCTACATGATATGGACTACTGTACGGGGCATTAAATCACTCCACATTGTCTAGGAATCAATGGCCTCCACGATACGAATAAACAAATGATAGGGCATTGAGTTCATCCATCTCAACATCCTGGCAATGTGCAGTATGAAGGTATTTGGCAATGAATCCAACCAACAAGTCTCAGGTTGAATACTCACCACAATCAGAAGAACTTCAAAATTTGGCATGCGCTCCTCCCAAATGTCCAAGGCTGTACATCACAGCCCCCATCCAAATAAAATCTGAATCCATGCAGCATTGGTTATTGCAACTTTCCAGTTTAGAAACCACACAATTTATCTGGGATTAAGTCAAGTTTCCTGCCTAATGTCCAGGCTCACGTTTCCAAGCTCCTATACTTGTGAATAGAGATTCCCCTCCCAGACTTAGACTATACACAGGAGCTAGGAATCCATAGTTCAATCAGCACTCTCCATGGAAATCACCAGAATTGTACCTCAGCTTGTTCTAAGAGACCCAAGCATTGTACTATTGCTTATCATCCGAGACGAACTCTCTGGATTCTGGCCAATACTAAAGATTAGAGGAGATGATGGCCAATGGTCTAATCACTAGACAATTCATTCAGAGATCTAAGTAATATCTGTGGTGCTCTGATGTCCAGCATAGCAGATAGTGAAATTTCAATTCAATAAAAAGCTAGACTTCTAATGTTGAATGATGACAATGAAATAGTTGTCATTCATTGGGAAAATAACCCCCATTTTATTCACTCATATCCTTTAGGGAGGATAATCTGTCATCCTTAACTGGTCTGACCTACAAGTGACTCCAGACCTACAATAACCTGGGTCATAATTGCGGGTCATGCATGTCACTGGTGAAAGGAGTAAATACTGAATGTGGTGATTGGCACGCTGATCAATCGGCTGTTTGTCCTGCACAAAGTGGAACTTTGTGAATGTTGCCCTCAATGTTGCATTTGAGCTGCTCTCAGCTAGATATGTGGAGAACATTCCATCCCACCCCTGAGCTTTGGTTTGTGGATGTTGGATATGGATTGCAGAGGCAGGCAGGGAGTTTAATTAGAGTGTTTGACATACTCCTGTGGCCACAGTATTTGCACGTCTGGACCAGGTCATTTTCGTTTCATTAGTTGGCCTAGGTTGTTGCTAGTGATGCATTCAAAGATGGTAATGTCTAAGTAAGCCAATGAGAGATTGGTAGATTCTCACTTTTTGGAGATGGTCATTTCCTGGTGCATGTGGGATGTGAATATTACTTGTCAATTATCAGATCAAGCTAGATGTTGTCTTCCTGTATATGGACAAAGACCTCTTCATTATCTAATGGGTCGTAAATGGTGTTGAACATTGTGCAATCACGAGAAAGCATTTCTAATTTGGAAATTGCATGGAGGAAAGAGCATTGATGAGGCAGCTGCACATTTTGGGGCCTAGCCTAGCATACAACGCTGAAGAATTTCTACAGAGCTGACTGGCGGTTGAGATTATTGACCTCCAACAGCCATAACCATCTTCACCTGTCATCAGGATGAAACCAAAGAAAGTTGTAATGTCATTGTCTCCAGTTTTTAGAAGGCTCCTTATTGTGAATATGTGTTCATAATTTATATGCTTAAGCCTTTTCAGGAATTAAAATTTAACTATAAAAGTAGGCACAACTAATTGAGGAGCAGATAATCAAAGTTTCTGTAAATGCAAGTCAAACAATGCTGAGTTGGTGTACGAGAGAGTAAACATATGGTTGTGCTGAAAGGTCAGATGCTATGGTATAAAAATCGAGCAAATAGTTTGGGCTCCTGGCAGAGTCATAATGTTTGTCATTATCACATTAAAAGAAGAGAAATGTTCACATTGGAAATTGGGTTTGTGAGCTGTGTTAGTGACATACAGTGTGCAGATATATAGAGAGTAGAAAGGACTTTGTGATTCAAATATGGAGATTATATTTCCACTAATGAGACAGACCAAAATGGAGGCCATAAATATGGAATACTCATTAAGGTACAGAACACTTTATGATAAGACAGGCTTGTACGGTGTATTAAAACACCATGTTAAATGTTCTGTATTCTATACTAATAATTCTATGCAATGCTTTCCAGCTCAGTTACTAACAATAGTCATAATATTGCAGGTACTAAAGTTAGTTATTAGTTGAAATACATGTTTACTCTTATTACTTCTGGTATTTTAATTTATATATATATATAGCCTTAAAACTGACTGATGCATGGTCCTTATCAAAACCTCTTCCTCCCAAGGAGGATACAGATCACAAAGTGAAGAGCAGTGATTGCTGGAAAATTAACTGTGGAAAGATTATGCACTACAGATTCAAAAGTTGTTAATCTAAATCTAATCAGATACAGATGTAAAATTGTGACAACATTTCCAGCTCTATATTCATCCTTATTAACATACAGATAATAAATTAGTGTAGGGATGTCCAACAACTTGTCCTAACCTTGCTGGAAGATTAAACAGTACCAAAAATATTATTTGACTCAACATTGATATGTCGATAGTTTCATTGAATTAGTATTGTTGGTCTGCTATTTTCATATCATGAAAAAAAATCATATCTGTTTAGCTCCAGTGGGACATTTCATTTTGTAAACTGAGCACCAAACATATACAACCAGCTGTGAAGATTCCCACATGCAATCTCATTGTATGTTCACAAACTACACTGACAGCTCCATCAGTGGACAGAACAGAGATGAGGAATCTAATATAAATGAAGAACTATATGGTTCATATTGTTATGGTTCTAGTTCTTACTGATGTCAGGTATTCCATTTCATTCACTTCCCCATGAACAGTTAAATTCTGTAGTCAGAGATACTCCTGCTTGCGCAACACCGCTGGCGTAAGTTGTACCCCTCCAGTTAGTAACCCACACTCAGTGTAATTTTACTTTGAGAAATGCCCCCAGTAACACTTGGACAGTGGGGTCAGTTGTTCCCCTTTGGCTAGGAACCCACCCTCAGTTAAATTCTAATTTAAAAATGCTCACTGAATCACATTGCCACTGAAATCAGTTGTTCTCTTCAGGCTATTGACCCACATGGAGTAGAGTTCTACAGTGAAAGATATTCCCGTAAAACTTGCAATTGGAGTCACAGGTATTCTTCTGTTAGTACTTCACACTTACTACAATGCTGCATTTACAGATACCACAGAAATGCAAGAATACTGGGCCACCAGTTCATATTTGAGCAGTTACGCACATTCACTACAATTCTACAATGACCACAGCAATCAGAGGGTCCAGCCTGCGGTTCGTGGTCCCCATTCAGTACAATTCCACGATTAGTAATATGCTCAGAGTGACTCCTGGAGATCTGGATCAACAGTACATAACATTCCAGTTAATCACTGGATAATGCAGGGTGTCTGTGAGCTATACAAAAGATTTATTTTTCTCTTAGTTGAGGAATTACACCACAGAGTTAGTTTGGAAATGTTAACTGCATACATTGATGTCACACATTAGGAACTCGTAATGCCCCAGGCCAATGCCCAGTAAGTCAAGGGTTAAATGTATCTGTTATACTTAGCACTGAATCGGAGTGCACTCCACATCAGTGAGGAGCATTCTGTGGGGAAGTAAAGATTCATCTTAAAGATAAGCAATAAAATACTTCAAGAGACCCCATCATAGAATGCTAGTGCCCCAGAACACCCAGTCTTCTGTATTGTACTAACCTCTGGCATTATGGCAGTAACACATGTTCTCTGAATCTTACACAGTCTTATCGGCTACCAAATGACACTCCTGTTTGGTATTGCCACCCAGTGATTCATGGATTGCTTTTCCTTTAGGTGAACCATTTTGTAAATGTTAAAGCAGGTCATTATTGCATCAAAGCATTTGATCCACTTGTTACTCTCTTCATGTAAAGCATACTGTGCCAGATACGTCCAGCAGTGTTGATGCAGCAGGCCTGACATTTAAAGTGTACGGTAGTAGTGTTCAGCTCAT